TATTTAATTTCAGTTTAAAAACAAGTTTCTAGAGAAATTTCGGCAGCATGCCGGCATAAATAGGAAAAATGCCAAACCTGCAATTCAAATCCAATTTCAATATATATTCTCCAGAATCCATCAAAATCAGTTTCTAATCAATTAAACAAGTCCAATAACTAAAAATCCCCAAATTTCATTCAATTCCAACAATAACTGTTCAAACTCGAACCCTAACTCAAAATTATTCAAATCTAACCAAAATCAAACTTTCTCAAGCTTAAAATCCGAATCAAAGAGTGGGTTTCAAAGGGTTTTACCTCAAATCAGTTGCTCGAGCTTCGTCTCCCTCAATTTTTCTGTTTTTCGTTTTTTTTTTTTTTTTGAGATTTTCGGCCAAACTGCCGAGAGAGAGAGAGAGGGAGAGAGAAACCCGGAAAGAGAGAGCAAGAGAGAGAGAGGACGCCGGCGGGAGGAAGCCCGGAGAGAGAGGTGGCCGGCGGTGGAAGAAAATGGAGAAAGAGAAAGAGAGAGAGAGGTTGTGCGTGGGAGAACCAGAGAAGAAGAAGAAGAAAAAAAAGAAAAGGAAAGAAAGAGAGAGAGGGGGGCTGGGCGCACGGGAAGGAAATGGGGGGAAAAGAAAAGAAAAAAAAGAAAAAGAAAAAGAAAAGAAAAGGAAAAAGAAAAAGAAAAATAAAAAAAAGGAAAATGTATTAAATTTAAGTGTGTTTTCCAAAAATCTTTGGGGTGTAATTATAAATATTGAAAATGACTTAAAGTCCCTTAATTAATTATGAAAATCAAATTAGACACACTAATAATCCACAGTTTAGCATAATTAAACATGTTTAATTCTAAAGGGCGTTACAGTTATATGTTTGATCTGTCATTAAGGTGCATAATCAGGTTGATAATGCATTTAGTGTTAAATGTGTGTTTCATAATCAGGTTGATAATGCATTTAGTGTTAAATGTGTGTTTCAGGTTGCATTAGTGTTAAATGTGTGTTTTAGGTTGATAATATGCATTTAATATAATCAGGTTGATAATGCATTTAGTGTTAAATGTGTGTTTCAGGTTGCATTAGTGTTAAATGTGTGTTTCAGGTTGATAATATGCATTTAGTGTTAAATGTGTGTATTGTAGGTTTTGTGAATCCCGGAAATGAAGGAAAAGAAAAAGAAATTTTAAGGGAAAGTTAAAGAAGTAATACTTACTTAATATGGTTAGGAATGAAGGAAAAGAAAAGGGAAAGTTAAAAAGTAACACTTTTAGGAATGAAGAAAAAGAAAAGGGAATAATTGGATAATTTTTAGGAATGAAGGAAAAGAAAAGGGAAAGTTTAGAAGTAACGATTAATTGGATAATTTAGAGCCATATTAGGGGTGTACATATACACCATAAAGCTGCTTTCCCATTGAATTTGATCTTGTGTTAACTCCTTGGTTCCAAGTTTATGATTTTCTAGATATTTTTCTTCTCAAAATCAACCCCCCTCACAAGTATTTGAAAACGGATTTTGTCATTTCCTCTATGGAAATCTCTGCATATAGAGCATAAATTTGTTTACTCACAATTTCAAAGAACAAAATCAATTAAACTCTTGCAGTTCTTACATGGGATTTGATCTTTAGTAAAGATTTCAAGTTTTTCTATGAGTTTCCCCCACTTGGCAAACCGCTCTAGTATCATTAATATTTCCTCACTTTTTAAGTCTTTTACCGTACCATGAATTAGTTCACCACTGCTATGTAGGAAATAAACAGAGGATTAAGGTAAGAGAAGCAGAAAACAAAAGTCAAACTAAGACTTCATTTTATTCAAGAGGGAGCCTAGAAAAGACCCTTAACAGAAACTACTGAAAAACACAACTGCAGAGTAAAAGAGCACACGATAATGTGCTTGCTTATTTCTTATACTGCTCTATGCATGGCTATTTCAGTAGTAGGGCATGTCAAATTGACACTGGGAAGGCCTCATCCCGCACGTGTTGGGCAACATCTGAGCGCTCTGCATCATCTTCCTCAGCTCCTGACGCCTCATCCTTCCTTGCTGCTGCTCACGCTCCATCTCCATCTGCAGCCCCTCGCAGCGGCACTGCTCGTCGCGGATCATCCTCAGCTCGTTGCAGCACTGGTCGTAGTGGCTGACATTGAGCTCATCGCCGAGACCCCGTTGCTGCTCCTGCAGGTAGCGCATGCAGTGGTTCAGGTTCCGCTGCTCGACCTGCTGGCGGCATTGCTCGCGGCTGCCACGGCGGCCGATGGGGTTCTCATCGGACTCGATGGTGGTGACGGTGGTGCGGAAGGCGGATGTGACGTGGGCCACGAGGATGAGGGCTGCTAAGAGAGCTGCAAGCTTGGCCATTGTTGAGAAAAGCTTGGTGTTTTGCGTGAGAGGAACTGTAGTAATAGTAGTAGTATTTTTGGATATATTGAGGGTAAGGTGATGGAGCTATTTATAAGGTTTTTGAGGGGTTTGCATGTGAAGTACGTGGAAGTTGGGACGATAAAAAAATTTGCGTGGCAAGATGGGGAGTTTCTAGTTTCCACGTATGGTTTTTTCATGCAAAATGCTGGCAATGATCTTCTGCTTTTTTGTTTGCTGGAGGCAGATCAGTGTCTTTTGTCTCAGAAAGTCGGAGAGCGTCTCCCACATATTTACTTATTCAGATTAAGATATGACTTATCACTATTATAATACTGTGAATTGGTTTTTGTTTCGTCGTTAAGATTGTATTCGTATTAGCTTAAAGAAGATATTAATATTTCTCATCTGTAATAAGTCCAAAGAGCGTTCACAACATTGTTACTACGACAGCATTAGTACTTGTTTTTCTGTGAAGCGAGTTTTTTTTTTTTTTTTTTTTTTTTTTTTTTTTTTTTTTTTTTTTTTTTTTTCTGATTAGCTTGAAGTAGATAATGATCTGTCTTCTTTGTGTCTTAAGTTCTAAGGTAATTAACAATTAGTTAATACAATTTTCAGATTAGAATATTGTACAGGTCAGTGGGATCAGGTGGTGGCTTTTTGGCGCTTTGATTGGAGTTGGTTTTGTATCACACGAGTGTGTGCTTTTCACAATTTGAGTTACAACTCAAGCTTTTTATATGAGAGAAAATATTGCAGTAAGAAAGTTGAATTTAAAATTTTGTGAGCTTTTTTATATGAAAGAAAATACTATAATAAGAAAGTTGAATTTAAAATTTTGTGAGAGAAAACATTAACTTTGTTTGGAGCTGTTTTTGTTTTTGTTTTTTATGTTTTTTGAGAAAGAAAAAATTAAAATGGGAAAGAAACGGCGTTTGGCTGAATTAAAGATATAAAACGGAAATGATAAGGATTTTTTGGTTGTGTAAAATGAGAGAAATGAAAAATAACTTTTAATCGTTTTTTATTTTTTGTTTGCGTTTTCTCCTCTCTCGAGCAGAGAGAGACATTATAGATTTTTTTTTATATTGAAACAATCTCTTGATAAAACTACCAAACGCACTTTTAAAAATAATTTCTGTCTGAGATTGAAAATGTTTTCATTTCTATTTTCATATAAAAAAATAAAATCATTTTAAAATGAGTTTCAAATACACCCATTGTATCAAAAAAAATTGAGATTGAGTTGTGAAAAGAACAAAACCGTAAAAATTGAGATTGAGTTGTGAAAAGAACAAAACCGTAGAGATTTTCATGCAAGTACGCTGGAATGAATTCTTTGTTCTGATTTGGAAAGGTTTATATGATTAGTTTGAAGAATTCAGTTTTGTGTGCATATTTCTGTATTTTGAAATGGAAGTAGATGGTTGGTTCCATAATTATGGAATTTGTAACTGATCATTCTTAGAATATGACATTACTCTTAAAGAGGGCGCTTTCTCTGCCTAATTAGCCGCATATCAGTTGGTTTAGTCTAAGATTAGATTATATATCTTACCAAAATGAGGCCATAAGTACATTTAGGATAGGCATAAGATTTATGATTTTGTGGAGTTACTGATATTAACTTCTAGCACTTATTTTGAGGACAAAACTCTTAAATATGAGATTTATATCTCTTTTCTTCTTGTTTCTAATTGTTATTGCTTACCGAATTAGTGTGTTAGCTCAGAATCCTCTGTACTATCCCTATTCTATACATTAAAGTGATCAATTGCCTGATTTGGTCCTTGTAATTTGCAAGATGAAGTTTTTATCAAATTGAGCTTCATTAATTAGAAATTAAATCCTGGGGTGCACAACTTAAATGATAAAATTTTCGTCGTAAGTTTTTCAATTTGCTGACTAACGAATAAGGTGAATGCTTCAACATTGACAACAATAAGTGCTGTGGCACGAGCGTCTGGCCAGATAGGAGCTAGAGACGGCACGTGCCGTCTCTAGCAGGTCTCTGATACAAACGTAACAAGAAATAGAAAATAGAATAAAATCTTTTTCTTTTTTTCTTTTTTTAAGTTCAGCCCGTTCATATTAAGGGTTTATGTAAAACTCAAAAAAAAGTTTGTATTCAAGTTATATTTAAGTTCGTTTTTTAACTTGAGTTTGGAGTTCGTTTATAAAATTTAAGTTTGAATTTAAGTTTTAAAATGAGTGAGTTTGGAGTTAAAATGAGAAAAATTTGAGTTTAAATTTCCCCTTTTAACTCAAGTTCTTAAACTCAAACTCAAATTAATACTCAAATTTCTTAAACTCAAACTCAAATTAATGAAGAATATTTTTTAATCAAATTAATACTCAAATTTTTTAAACTCAAACTCAAATTAGAATATTTTTTAATCAAATTAATACTCAAATTTTTTAAACTCAAACTCAAATTAGAATATTTTTTAATCAAATTAATACTCAAATTTCTTAACTCAAATTGAACTCAAAATTTATACTCTAAATCACTATAACTCAAAACTCAAAAATGCAACCAAACAAGTCCTGAGACTTCATTTTTATTCAAGAGAGAGCCATTAAAAGCCCTTCGAAACAGAAACTATACAAAAACACAACTACAGATAAAAGAGCACACGATAATGTGCTTGCTCAAACCACAGAAGCATCTTTAGCCGTATCTAACACTTTGCAGAAAGTTCTGCTCTATGCATGGCTTTTTTTTTTCCCTCAGTATGAGGGCATGTCAAAGTGGCACTGGGAAGGTCTCATCCCGCACATGTTGGGCAACATCTGAGCGCTCTGCATCATCTGCCTCATCTCCTGACGCCTCATCCTTCCTTGCTGCTGCTCACGCTCCATCTCCATCTGCAGTCCCTCGCAGCGGCACTGCTCGTCGCGGATCATTCTTAGCTCGTTGCAGCACCTGTCGTAGTGGCTGTCGACGTCGTTGAGTTCATCGCCTAAACCCCGTTGCTGCTCCTGCAGGTACCGCATGCAGTGGTTCAGGTTCCGCTGCTCGACCTGCTGGCGGCATTGCTCGCGACCGGCACGGCGGTTGTCGTCGGTGACGGTAGTGGTGATGGTGGTGCGGAAGGCGGACGCGACATGGGCCACTAGGAGGAGGGCTGCTAAGAGAACTGCGAGCTTGGCCATCGTTGAGAAAAAGTTTGGTGTTTTTGTGTAAAAGTTCTAATTTGGTTTTTGTGGATATTGTAGGGGTTAAGGTGATGGGCCTATTTATAAGGTTTTTGAGGAGTTTGCATGTGAAGTACGTGGAAGGTGGGATGGTAATAGGAGATGTGCGTGGCCAGATTGGGGTTTTCTTATTTCCACGTATGGTTTTTTCATGCAAAATGCTGGCAATGATCTTCTGTTTTTTTTTTTTTTTTTGAAGTGATGTTTGGGTTCTTATTAGGTTATAGATGTCTTTCGTTTAGGAAGTCCTAAGAATGTTTTCCACAGATACTTCGTTTTTTTTTTTTTTTTTTGGATTATGCATGGAAGATTGTTTTCATAATTTTTAGCTTAAAAGCAGATCAGCTCTTTTGTGTATTAAGTCATTAGAGTGTTCTCCATATTCTTGTTAGGATATCATTGCTACTTATATCTAATATCATTGCCATGATTTTTTTTTCCTGTGAAGTTTTGTTTCTGATCATTGGCTTAAAGCAGACCATGATCATTCTTTTGTCTTATGTTCTACATGGACATTCTAATAACATTAGTTTAGACTTTTAGTACATTAAGTCTGAGATTATTATTGACGGTGAAATTTTGTCAACGAGATTACGTTAGATTACCAGTCAGTAATCTGGTGAGTTATCGGTCAAAACTTGATATATTATTAGGAGAGTGCAACTGGATGTAAATGAGTCTTCGAGAGGTTTCAAATTGGTATGAAAGTGTCAATAAATCAAGAGAACACTAGAGATTATAGTCGCTTTATAATGAGAGAGCTACATCCACTCGTTATTGTATATCTCTATCTTTCTTTCTTCAAAGGTTACAGAACAAGAGATCTCGCTCTCTCTCTCTAGGCTTTTTTCCTTTTATATCTCACATATTACATATGGGGCGGACCATGACAGGGGGTTATCTGATGACTTCTCTCGAGTAGCCTATTATCCTACTTGTTTAGACCGTAGCCTTTTAGCACATTTTGGACTGTTCACTCACCTACTTTGTCCACTATTACGGCTCTGCGGATCTTCCGTGACTTCCATTGGTCGTTCTAGTCGGTTTATGGTCAGGTAATCATTCTCTTTGCTATTGACTTTCTCTAAACCCAGAAGTAACCTAGAGATTTCTCCCTGTCACCTCAGAGGTTATTCTTGGGATGTGGGTCAAAAACTGAGCGTCCTGCCCTCTGCATCTATATTGAATTTCAGTAAGTCAATGCAGCCTCTGTCCCGGTCAATCCTTTCACAGTGTCGTCGGTCTACTGAGAATTTTGAATCATGCATGCCTCGACTGCGTGTAGGGTCGACAGTTGCATGTCCACTGTCGAAAGCGTTCAAGGATTACTACCCTGAAATACCTCATACGATCGACCCTTTCACCATTGGGGGAGAGGGAAATGAGCTTTGGACATTGACCGCTGTCTGATGTGGCAGGTGAAGGCCACTTGGAGCTCGGTTATCGTCCGACGTGATAAAGAATATTTTTCCTCACAACAGTTGCCCCCCAGGTCGAGGCTTTCCTTTGGGCTGTCTCGAGCTTTAACTAGGTTGGGATTTACTCTGACCTCTCCGTTTGCTTTGGTTGTGGGAGCCTAACTGTGAACCTCCCCTGTAATGATGGTTCTGGCGCTTCGGAGCCCTTCGAGAAGTGCCTACGTCGCGTTGGTCTGGTCGCCATGCTGACGTGGGTTCTCATTTAAACGGACAACTATGGGCCGTTGTATCGCGTCCCTTCAGTTTCCCACTCTCCCACTAACGGTTGGATCGAGTCCCTTCGTCTTCGCCGTTGGATGTACAGTTACTTCACCGGACGACTGGGAGTCAATGGTTTTTCATTGCTATAAATAATCTTTCTGTCATCGTTCAAATCATCTTGAAATTAGGCCGACACTCTGCCAAAAATTTGATGAAGTTGGCTTTGCATGGGGAGCACACGTTGATTTTCATGCAAGTGCGCTTGGCATGAATTCTTTGTTCTGTTGTGGAAAGTTGACTTTTGTATGACCGGCTTGAAGAAGTCAGTTTTGTGTGCAAATTTTCTACATGTCAATACAAATTAATCAAGTAAATTTCTTGCATAACTATGGAATTGTTGCTAATCATTGTTATATGACATTACTCTAGAGGAAGATTCTTCTGAAATCTCATATATTAGAGAGACATACATGGAACATCAAAATAGTGCAGTAAGAAAATGGAATTTAAAATTTTGTAAGAGAAAACATTGAGCGCGTTTAGAATTTATTTTAAAATGATTTTGTTTTTGGTATGAAAATAGAAATGAAAACGTTTTCAATCTCAGACATAAATCATTTTTAAAAATGTGTTCGGTAGTTTTATGAAGAGATTCTTTTCAGTACAAAAAAATTCATTAATGTCTCTCTCTCTCTACTCGAGAGAGGAGAAAATGGAAATAAAAAATAAAAAATGACTAAAAGTCATGTTTCATTTCTCTCCAATTTTACACTAAACTAATAATCGTTTTCATTTCTTTTTTGTCGTTAATTGTGCCAAACGTCGTTTCTCAGCCGTTTTCATTTTTTTTTTCTCGAAAAACGTGAAAATAAAAACAAAAAGAACTCCAAACACATTGTATCAAAAGAAATTGAGATTAAGTTGTGAAAAAAATAAGACCGTAGAGATTTTCATGCAAGTACGCTGGAATGAATTCTTTGTTCTCATTTTGAAAGTTTTATATGATTAGTTTGAAGAATTCAATTTTGTGTGCATATTTCTGTATTTTGAAATGGAAGTAGATGGTTGGTTCCATAATTATGGAATTTGTAACTAATCATTCTTAGAATATGACATTACTCTTAAAGAGGACGCTTTCTCTGCCTAATTAGCCGCATATCAGTTGGTTTAGTCTAAGATTAGATTATATATCTTACCAAAATGAGGCCATAAGTACATTTAGGATAGGCATAAGATTTATGATTTTGTGGAGTTACTGATATTAACTTCTAGCACTTATTTTGAGGACAAAACTCTTAAATATGAGATTTATATCTCTTTTCTTCTTGTTTCTAATTGTTATTGCTTACCGAATTAGTGTGTTAGCTCAGAATCCTCTGTACTATCCCTATTCTATACATTAAAGTGATCAATTGCCTGATTTGGTCCTTGTAATTTGCAAGATGAAGTTTTTATCAAATTGAGCTTCATTAATTAGAAATTAAATCCTGGGGTGCACAACTTAAATGATAAAATTTTCGTCGTAAGTTTTTCAATTTGCTGACTAACGAATAAGGTGAATGCTTCAACATTGACAACAATAAGTGCTGTGGCACGAGCGTCTGGCCAGATAGGAGCTAGAGACGGCACGTGCCGTCTCTAGCAGGTCTCTGATACAAACGTAACAAGAAATAGAAAATAGAAATTTTTTTTTTTTTTTTTTTTTTTTTTTTTTTTTTTTTTAGTCCAGCCCGTTCATTGCTAACAATAAAGTAAGATATGGCATAGGGTTTGTTTTACTCAAAAAATTACAATTTTATTTAAGTTTATGTTCGTTTATAAAATTTGAATTAAAACTCTGTTTGAATTCGAGTTTTAATTTAAATTTGGGGCTAAAATATGAATTCAAGTTATTTAAGTTTATGTTCGTTTATAAAATTTGAATTAAAACTCTGTTTGAATTCGAGTTTTAATTTAAATTTGGGGCTAAAATATAAATTCAAGTTAATGCTCAAGTTCTCAAACTCAAGTTAATGCTCAAGTTGTTAAACTCAAATTAATGTTTAAGTTCTTAAACTCAAACTCAAGTTCTTAAAGTCAAGTTAATGAACAATATTTTTGCCATTCTTGAAAACGTCATAACTATTTCGTTTCGTTTTAATTCCGATTAATTCAAATTTGAGATGATTTTTTTCTATTTCTGATTAATTCAAATTGAGATGATTTTTTTTCTATGCATTCACAACAAAGACGAATAAAACCCCACTTATATATCCTATTAAAATTTTAATTTTTTATTACCATTGAGTTTTTATTAAAATACTATCTAAATACAAATTCAAATTTTGACACACAAATTAAAATAGATTCTTAATTTAAATGTGCACATCTAAATTCAAATATTCAAATAAACTCAAATGTGCACATCCAAACACAAACTCAAACTCAAGTTACAATTTCAACTCAAATTAAGTTATAATTTCAACTCAAATTATACTCAAGATCAGTCACCATAACTCAAAAATGCAACCGAACAAGTCCTAAGACTTCATTTTTATTCAAGAGAGAGCCATTAAAAGCCCTTCGAAACAGAAACTATACAAAAACACAATTACAGATAAAAGAGCACACGATAATGTGCTTGCTTAAACCACAGAAGCCTCTTTAGCCGTATCTAACACTTTGCAGAAAGTTCTGCTCTATGCTTGGCTTTTTTGTTTTTGTTTTCCCCCTCAGTATGAAGGCATGTCAAAGTGGCACTGGGAAGGCCTCATCCCGCACATGTTGGGCAACATCTGAGCGCTCTGCATCATCTGCCTCATCTCCTGACGCCTCATCCTTCCTTGCCGCTGCTCACGCTCCATCTCCATCTGCAGCCCCTCGCAGCGGCACTGCTCGTCGCGGATCATCCTCAGCTCGTTGCAGCACCGGTCGTAGTGGCTGACGTCGTTGAGTTCATCGCCTAAACCCCGTTGCTGCTCCTGCAGGTACCGCATGCAGTGGTTCAGGTTCCGCTGCTCGACCTGCTGGCGGCATTGCTCGCGACCGGCACGGCGGTTGTCGTCGGTGACGGTAGTGGTGATGGTGGTGCGGAAGGCGGACGCGACATGGGCCACCAGGAGGAGGGCTGCTAAGAAAGCTGCGAGCTTGGCCATCGTTGAGAAAAAGTTTGGTGTTTTTGTGTAAAAGTTCTAATTTGGTTTTTGTGGATATTGTAGGGGTTAAGGTGATGGGCCTATTTATAAGGTTTTTGAGGAGTTTGCATGTGAAGTACGTGGAAGGTGGGATGGTAATAGGAGATGTGCGTGGCCAGATTGGGGTTTTCTTATTTCCACGTATGGTTTTTTCATGCAAAATGCTGGCAATGATCTTCTGTTTTTGTTTTTTTGTTTTTGTTTTTTTTTTTGTTTTTTGAAGTGAAGTTTGGGTTCTTATTAGGTTATAGGTGTCTTTCGTTTAGGAAGTCCTAAGAATGTTTTCCACATATACTTCGTATTTTTTTTTTTTTTTTGGATTATGCATGGAAGATTGTTTTCATAATTTTTAGTTTAAAAGCAGATCAGCTCTTTTGTGTATTAAGTCCTAAGAGTGTTCTCCACATTCTTGTTAGGATATCATTGCTACTTATAACTAATATCATTACCATGAATTTTTTTTTCCTGTGAGCTTTGTTTCTGATCATTGGCTTAAAGCAGACCATGATCATTCTTTTTTGTCTTAAGTTCTACATGGACATTCTAAGAACATTAGTTTAGACTTTTAGTACATTAAATCTAAGTTTATGATGGCCAAGTTGGTCTTGGGATATTAATTTGCAGAAATATTGTTGGATTGTAATGGTCAGTATGGTCAGGTGGTGGCTTTTTCGGCTCTAATTTGATGGAGTTGGCTTTGCATGGGGAGCACACGTTGATTTTCATGCAAGTGCGCTTGGAATGAATTCTTTGTTCTGTTGTGGAAAGTTGACTTTTGTATATTCGGCTTGAAGAAGTCAGTTTTGTGTGCAATGTTTCTACATTTCAACACAAATTAATCAAGTAAATTGCTTGCATAACTATGGAATTGTTGCTAATCATTGTTAGGATATGACATTACACTAGAGGAAGATTCTTCTGAAGTCTCAGATATTAGAGAGACATATACGGAACATCAATGCACTGGCCAACACGTTAATAGAATGTGCGCTTTTTTTTATAAGATTCGTGGTGTTGAACGTTACTGATATCATTACAGATATCAAGTACTTGTCTCCCTAGCTCGTCAGATCTTAAAATTTCGTATCGCTCTTTATGGGACAGATTAATATGTCGAAGATCGATCTGATGGGTAAATATATTGAAAAAGATACATGATTATGTTGTGATATATAACTGATACCTAGGGCTTCTTTCCCCCTCCCCATCTGTTAAGGCTTTGTTAGGTAAGAGTAAGAGACAATAAGGAAAGAAAGGTATATAACTTAGTCAGGCGAGGAAAATAGAGAGTGAAAAACATGTTTTTCTCTTATTGTGTTTGGTATGCAATTTCCTAATATAATCTCTTTATATATATTGGAAGAGATCGAAACTGGGTTTTGAAGGATTTGAAATCTTTCGATCAGTACATTCTCTCATCTTTTTCTCTCATACCAAACAACCATGTGTCCTGAAATCCTTACACTTTTGTCATCCCTTTCCTTCTAAGTTTCCCTCGTACCAAACAACCTCTAACACAAAAAATAATTGAGCCGTTATTTCAATTTATTAAGAGGAAAAACTCTTTCATGATCATTAGTGCTTGAGATTAATTAGTTTATCATAAGAATCGAAAAGAGATAGAAACAAACAGAAAAGCACTGCATTTTAATGTATAATCTTATAAATAAATATTAATTATAGGCAGATCCATACTCTTCTTTTTGTTTTTACTTGTTATTGCTTAACAAATTGGTGTATTAGCTCAATACCTCTGTAGCCTATTATCTGTGCAACCCTTACATCGAAATAGTTAAGGGCCTGATTTGGTCCTTAATAAAATTACTTTTTCAAAAATAATTTTTATCTAAAATTAAAAACATTTTTATTTTTATTTTTATATAAAAAATAAAATTATTTTGGAACCCGTTCTAAACGCCCATTATTTCTTACCAAGTAAGAATTTCACCAACTTCGGAGGACTTTTCAGGCTTTTTTATTTTATTTTTTTATTTTTAACCTTTATATTCAATGAGTTCTGTTTGTGGATTGATTATATAATAAGCCTATAACACGAGCGCTCTTATCATTCTTATCAATATCATCTTTACTGTAAGTTGTGAAGAACATGATTGAAGTCTAATCATGTCCAGATAAATATTGCCTTATTCTAGTTTTTACTATAAATGAGGTCCTGATTATATATTAACCAAAAATATTGCCTTATTCTAGTTTTTATTATAAATGGGCTGCTGATTATATATTAAGTAGAGTGAGGTTAGAGAAAACACAGATTTAAAAGATGTGCGATTTTCTCTTGTATCTTTTTCATCATAATAAATTACTACAAAGCAACGGAGCAACGGCTGAAAGAAGATGTGAGATAGAAACGGTTGAAAGATTGAGGAAAACTTTTTGAGTGTTTGTTTTTTACTTGATTTATTTTTTCAGGATTAAGATATCTAATTCTTATTCTGAATTAAAACGATTTTATTCATAGAGCCTGATCTAAAAAGCCCCCAACAACAAAACCACGAAGTACTAGTCTGCTAGAGAAAGAGCACACGACAATGTGCTAATGTACTTTGATCAATAGGTGGACATTTCAAAGTCGCACTCAGTAGGCCCCACCCTGCACATGTTGAGCAACCTTCGAGCGCTCTGCATAATCTGGCTCATCTCCCGAGGCCTCATGAAGCCCCTCTCCTGCTCCTGCTGCAACTCCATCCGCAGCCCCTCGCACCTGCACCTCTCGTCCCTTATCATCCTCAGCTCGTTGCAGCACCGCTGGAAATCCGCCTGGCCATTGAGTTCCTCGGCGTCGGCGCCCTCGTCGTAGCCCCCTCGGCGGCCCCCCCGCTGCTCCTGCTGCTGCTCCTCCCTCAGGTACCTGGAGCAGTGGCTCAGGTCCCGCTGCTGGACCTGCTGGCGGCATTGCTCGCTGCCGCGGCGGCTGGGGCGGTCGTCGACGACGTCGGTATCGACGGTGGTGATGGTGGAGCCGAAGGCGGCCGAGGCGTGGGCCACCAGGAGGAGGGCTGCCAGGAAGGCTGCGAGCTTGGCCATTGCTGATGAGGAAAGTTAATTTGTATGTTTTTGGTGGAAGTAGGGAGCTATTTATTAGGTTTTTTAGGGGTTTGCATGTCAAGTACGTGGAAAATGGGATAGTCAGTAGATTTGCGTGTCGAGATGGAGGATTTCAGCTTGTTTCCACGTATGGTTTTTTCATGCAAAATGCTGGCATGATCATCAACTGGTTTTTGCTTTTGTTTTGTTATGAAGATTGGTTTTTTATCAGTCTCTTTTTTTGTCATTTTAGTCCCAAGATCAGTACTATTGATCAATACAGCAATATTAGTACTTATTTAAGAATATTGTTACCATGGATATTGTTACCTTTAAGAAAAAAAAAATATTGTTACGTACGATGGATTGTTAGTTGTTTTGTTGTGAAGATTGGTTTCTGATTAGCATAAACTATATTATCTCTTTTGTGTATTAAAGTTCTAACTTCTATGAATGCTTATAATGTTACTGTTAAGGGTATCATTAGTACTAATTAATTATTAGCATAATTATTATCGTGAATTCTTAATTTTATGTTTTTAATTTCTGTGAAGATTAGTTTCGTAGTTCATTTTGCTCGTTTGAGTTGAAAACTTGAGTTAAAAAGTAAATTCACGTGAGAGAAAATAGAGTAATAGAAAAAATTAAATTTGAATTTCTATAAGAGAAAACACGCAAATAAAAACTGAGTTGTGATTTGAACCGGCGAAACAAACGGACCTTATAATTAACTTAAAGCAGATCAGTCTCCTTTGTGTATTGAGTCCCAAGAGTTTATATCATGTTATTACACGTAAGGACAGCATTAGTACATATCAACATTAATATTGAATGAAATGGAGACAATTTGTTTCTGATCACTAGCTTAAAGCAGATCATGTTCTAGTGATTGTAACGTACGACGTTCACTCTAAGGATAAGATCATGTTCTTGTTTCTAATTGTTTGAAAAATTAGCGTGTTAGCTCAATATATATATATATATATATATATATATATTCTTTGTTATTGTTATATGAGGAGATTGCTAAATTTACACGTAGAGTGCATATATATATATATATAACTCTAGATTTTTATCTTAATTAATATTTTTTTGACTAATATAGTTATTTATCTAATTGAAAATGATATTAATAAAAAATCAAGAGTGAAAACTCAGAACCACACACTTTAAGGAGTATTTATTCCCTTTTTGCTTGTTATATTGACCTTATTAGCTCAAAATTGACGTGCATTTTAGATTCATTCGAAAAGTATATCCTTATTAAATATTGCCGCAATGCATGCACACACCATTGGATTGTATAATTGGATTTTTTTTTTTTTTTTTGAGTTTGGATATGGGTTTTCTTTAAGGATTTGTTGACTGAATTTGTGTGTGTACGTAAGATGTAGAAAAACTTTGTGTTTCTTAAACCACAATCCCCACCTAAAGCTATCCCCAACATCTTCCCATTTCGTTAGATCACCAAAGGATAGGCATTGTACTAATGCAACTTATCTAATGGAGTCACTATTGTTCTCCATATTTTTAATTTCCTTGACAATTTAGAAGTGCTTATGTTTATAAAGGAGGGGGGGAAAAAAAAAAACACCGATTGCTTACAGATATTAGTTAAATTTTGGACAAAGTAATCACAAACTTTAACATCTACATCTCCCAAAATTATTGTAATTAATTTGGTATTTTTTCTCGTGAAATTTTATGTTTTAATTTGACTAATTAGTCTCTTATAATAAGACTTAGTGATTAACAAAAGTCCCAAAACTTTGACTCCATTAACCATCTGAGTTAATTTTTATAATTTTTTGTTTTTTTTTTGTAAAATTCAAGGACTAAGTTACGAAGAGAAATAAATTTAAAAAAGGGAACATACAAAATCCCAAGAAAATCAGGGACACAAGTATTGAGAATCATATAGAGCTTACTCAAAATGCTTCTCTAATATATATATATATATATATATATATATATAGCAGCACTTTGAAGAAAACTACCAAGGGCACCGGTATGGAGGCAAGTTGCAGACGTCAGGCATCTCTCTCGCCATCTTAAGCAGTTTCTCGACGTCGACGTCGCCGTCGCCTCCCCGTCCCCGTTCCGCCACCACCTTCATCGCAGTGCAGCGGTCCTTTTCTTGTAGCGCCGCCAACTGGATGCAGCAGAAGTCGACATCCGAGAGGATGCAAGGACGAGGACTTTTCTGATCATCCTGTTGGTCGCATGTCGTTGTCAGCAGCATCTCGCAGTAACTTACGACGCCTCTTAAACGCTCGTCTTCCTCGAAATCGTCGCTCTCGCGCTTCGTCTCCCCGGTGCCGGTGGAGTGACGTACGGCAGTTGCGAGGCTCGGTACTATTAAGGTTAGTATTCTCATGAGCTTTGCCATTGTATGAATGTTGTTGTAAGTTCAAGAAATAGTACTGCAAATATTGTTCTTTTACCATATAAATATGTAATTTTTTGGGTGTGTGTATGTGTCAATATAAAGAAATAATAAATTAGTTTAGTGTCTTTTGAAGAAACAAAAGATTTATTCACATTTTGCATATTGCATATGTTAAAATAATTAATTACCAAACTAGAATGAGTGAGTGAGTTTTATATGCCAAAAGTTTACTCTAATATTTATATATTGGTGGGTATTATATTATTTTAACTATGTGATATTGATATATATGTCAACTACAAAAATTATACAATAAATGAGATTAAATTCTTATAATGTCATATTATTATATTTCTATATTTAATAAGTAACTATCATAGAAACATAACTATAAAAAACCGTCCATATTATATGCATTATACTTAAAAGTCATGTTATTGTTGTCTGATTGTTCATAATGGTGCCTTAAAGGAGATCAACTCTAGGCGAAATCCAAAAGATCATTTTGTTTGGTAATTATAATATTAATTGTGTATCAATCAGTTTGTTGTATGATCGATCCACATATCAATAAGAGGTTTAGGCAGGTCTTACCTTCCATAAAATGGCTTTTCGGTTGTCATATGTAGTTTACTTGACCAATTTTGGTCATGAGACAATTTTTTGATAAAAAAAAATAACATCTTTTCTCTCCCCCATCTCTTTCTCCGTCCTTTTTTCCTTTGTCAAGAAAAATAAAACCAACCCCTCTTCCTGACAAGCAAAAAAAATCTCTTTCATTCATAAAAAAAAAAAAAAAAAAGTTCTCACTCTCTCTCTATTCTCACCCATATTCTATTTCTCTCTCTTTCTCAGTTGCTCCTCTAATTTTTTCATCAAGGACTCCTCCATTAGTATTACGATTGCTTCTTTCACACGGGAGAAGGTCTCAATTGCTTCAGTCCTCAACTGCTCCTCTATCAATTGTTTTCCATCGAACAAAGTCATTAAAATTGAATAATAATAGAAAAAAACCAGATGATCTTGATGCCCTCAATTTCTTTTATATATATATATATATAATATATACAATTTTTCATATATATACGAAAAAGGTAGGAAATAGGCGTACATTATAGAAGTAAATGGCTAAATTTCCAATGTATAAAAATTAATATACCATTTCATATTTTTAATTTTAATTTTTCAATTTTACTTTTTTTTGTTATTTTTTTCCTTTTCCTTTAATAAATCCATGTATATTTAGAATTTATCAAATTAGAATCACTTGAAAAAAAGTACAACTTATAAGGGTAAATCTCATATATATATGGTAAATTCAAGATTTACCAAGTTCTTACTAGAAGAAAAATGTACAAATTCTAATGGTAAATCCTGGATATACTTGATAAATCTAAAATTTATCAAATTGTATTAGTACGGAAAAAGTGAAAAATCTAATGGTAAATCCCGAATATACCTGATAAATCTCAAATTTACCAAGTTTGTATTAGTAAGGGAGAAGAACACTACAAATTCTAATGGTAAATCCCGAATATACCTGAAAAAGTAAAAAATCTAATGATAAGTCTCAGATATACCTAGTAAATCTCGGATTTATCAAGTTCGTATTATGAGAAAAAAATAGAGAAATATAATAGTAAATGTCGGATTTACCAAGTAAGTATTAGTAGGGAAAAAGTAAAAAATCTAATGGCAAATTCTGGCATACTTGATAAATTCAGAATTTACCAAGTTCGTATTTATTAGGGAAAAAGTAAAAAATCTAATGGTAAATCTCGGATATAACAGGTAAATCCCGGATATAATAGGTAAATCTCATATTTACCAAGTTTGTACTAGTAGGGAAAAAGAACACTACAAATTTTAATAGTAAATCCCAAATATACCTGACAAATTTCAGATTTACGGGATTTACCAATTTTGTATTTAGTAGGGAATAGTGAAAAATCTAATAGTAAATCTTAGATATACATGGTAAATCTCAGATTTATCAAGTTCTTATTATGAGGGAAAAAGAGAAAAATCTAATGGTAAATTCTGGATATATCTGGTAAATCCCAGAGTTACCAAGTTCGTATTACTAGGAAAGAAGAACACTATAAATTCTAATGGTAAATCCCATATATACCTGGTAAATCTCGAATTTACTAAGTTCATATTAGTAGAGAAAAAGTGAAAAATCTAATGGTAAATCCCTAATATAAACGGTAAATCCAGGATTTACCAAGAGAGTATTTTTGGAATTTTGGCTGGTTATAAATTTGGATTTACATCACACTGACCTATTTATTAACTTTTCTTAAACATTGGCTTATTAATTTTAATTCCTCTCAAATTTTGACCTATTTCTCTCAATCTCCCTATATATAGATATATTATTGTGCATTTTGTTTATGCTATTTTCTTCTCCTTCCTATCCTATTTCACTCTACTCTAATGTAAATGGTTGGCCTAGTTATTCTTTTCCAAAAAAAAAAAAAAAGACTCCAATAATTAATTGATTTTTTAATCAAGAAATAAAACCAACCCTATGTCATTAATTCAACTCTCTCTCTTTCTTTCACCAAAAAAATAAAAAAATAAAAAAATAAAAAACTCACTTTCTTTGCTCTAACCCATATTTCTGTTTCTCTCTTTCTGGCATTTTCTTCTCCCTCCTCTATGCGATTTCACTCTCTCCTTTGTAAATCTAAATTGTTGACTCAGTTAAATTTTTTTTAAAGACTCTGATACTTAATTATTCCTCTACAATCAATATGAGTAGACTTTCTCGTAAAAAAGAAAAAGGAAATAAAAAAAGAGGTACAGACTTGCATTTTTGCAACAAGGTATTGTGATTCAGCAAAATGAAAAAAATGAAATAAAACAAAATAAAACAGAGCATAGTGTACATCAGTTACTATGGAAGCAAAGAGGAAAATTAAAAATAAAAACTACAATCAAAGCATATTATTTCAACTGTCTGTCTTGAAATATCTGTAGGATTAGCAATAGCAGTTTGGCTGTTGAGAGCACAAAGAGATTTATTTTTCTTGGTGAAAGAAGGAGAGAGTCGATGAATTGGTTTTATTTCTTGATAAACAGTACGAAGCCAGGATTTCTTAGCAGGTAATTTTTTTTTATTAAGATTATACTAACATGTATATATGTAAATGGTTGACCCAATAAAATATAGAACTATTAATTTAAGCAAAGTCAAGTCATATTTATAAACATACCTACTATATTAAAATTAAAACCATTATATTAAAAAAAAGCTAGGAGGCCATGGCCGTCCCCCTCCATCATCGTCGATAAAGAAAAAAAATAATAAAAGAAACGATGGAAAAAGAGTGGGGGAGAGAGAAGATGTCAAAGAAGAAAAGAGAGAAATATTTACTCTCAATATCAATGATTATGCAAATGGAACGATGATGATTACAATGACATATCATTGGTTACTAAAGGATTGCCACCGGTTGACAATGTTGATGTTGTTGCAGATGATTATTTTAACTTAGAGGATGTTTGGTAGAAGGATTCGTTCTCTGATTCGAATCATGATTCGTAATTTGCTACAGTATTTTCTCTCATAAAAAATACACGTAAATCGAAAATAGTTCGAATCACATGGTTTGAATGCTCCAACCAAACGTCCTTTTAGTTTGTTTGGATGTTGAATTGACATGTGTTGAAAAAAGGTAATAATTAGAAGAGAAAAAGTAAGTATGTATTTATGTGTGCTTCTATAAACATTTAATTTATCCGTTGTTGATGTAATATTAATCATGTGAAACTACATTCATTGCGTACTGTTGTACTATTTTGTAATTCATTTCATCTTGTTAGTTTGTAATTTATTTGTTATTTTGTTCTATTGTAAATTATTATTAATATTTATAATTATATAATTAACTAAAAGCAGAGAATTGTTAGGCCAAATAACACGCACGATATAGGCCACCCGTTGGAACAAGCTAAAAATATGCAGAATATTTCTAATACTACAACAACATATAACGACGGTTTAACCATAAAATCGTTGTTAAATAAAAAACTTTAGACAAAAATTAATACAAAAACTATCATTTAAAATGTTGTCCAACCACCATAATAGAAGATGGTTTTATACTTAACCGTCCTCTAATGTTATTATATAATGACGATTAAAGGTTGTCAACCTATTACGACTCTAGATACGACAACAGTTTTACTAACCGTCATCATATCTTACAACAACGATTTAAAATCGTTGCTATATCCATTTTCTGTACTAGTGAGTTCTCCAAGAAACTCTCCCTCTCTCTCATATTCTCTCTCTTCCTCCATTCTCTCTCATCTTTCCTATTATTACAAATGAAAAGATGGAGGAATGAATAAAATCATTCTCATTCAAAATTAACAGTCCAGAGAGGTACTACATATAAGAGCACAAGGGGCTCAGCATTCTAGGAGCCTATTTGTTACGTAACAAACTTCCTCCAGAATATTCCACAACCTTTTGTCCTATAGCATAACAGAAATAACAAAAGGATAATTAGCAAAAGTAAATAACAGATTCCCTAATATGGTAAGACTCCCCCTCAAGATGGAGAATACAGATTGTGGATTCTCATCTTGCCCAATAGAAGCCGAAAACAAGTTGGATGGAGTGCCTTAGTAAGGAGATCGGCAAGTTGATTTTGAGTGGAAACGTGCATAGTCTTTAAAACTCCTGCTTGAATTCTTTCTCGCACAAAATGGCAATCGAGCTCAATATGCTTTGTGCGCTCGTGATAAACCGGATTGACAGCAACATGGAGAGCAGCTTGATTATCACAGTAAAGAAGAGCTGGGCTGTGATGAGTGACGTGCAAGTCCCGAAGCAGACCAAGCAGCCAAACAATCTCACAAGTAGTGTTTGCCATAGACCGGTATTCTGCTTCCGCTGAAGAATGTGAGACAACAGATTGCTTCTTGGATTTCCAAGAAATAAGAGAGGAACCAAGGAAAACACAAAAACCAGTGAGAGAACGTCAAGTATCAGGACATGTGCCCCAATCTGCATATGAGAAGGTTTTGAGCTGAAGTGCTGATGTTGAATAGAAGAAAAGGCCTTGACCTGGTGTTTTCTTGACATACTGTAAAATACGCATGGCTTCCTGAAGATGAGCAGTACGAGGTGCTGCCAAAAATGACTAAACCGGTTCACAGAGTAGCTGAGGTCAGGTCGGGTAATGGTGAGATGGATGAGCTTACCTACCAATCTATGGTAGCTTGTAGGGTCAGTGAGTAAATCACCATCAGATTGAGAAAGTTTCAAATTGGGTTCCATTGGAACAGAGGCTGGCTTGCAACCCAAATACCCGGTATCAGCCAACAACTCTAAAGCATATTTTCTCTGACAAATGGAGATCCCAGAAGCTGATCTAGCAATTTCTAAGCCCAAGAAGTACTTGAGAGAGCCTAAGTCTTTCATCTTGAAACGTTTATTCAAAGCCACTTTCAAAGAGTCCACGGCTATTTGATCATTGCTGGCAATAATTATATCATTGACATATGCCAAGAGTGCCAAAAAAGAAGTACCACGAGATTGTGTGAATAGAAAGTGATCAGAACTCGATTGTGTAAAGCCTTCTGAAATTAATACCTTGGAAAACTTGTGAAACCATTGCCGAGACACTTGCTTGAGAAAATAAATAGATTTGGAGCTTGCAAACAGCATTAGAAGGCAAAGACTCTCCCTTTCCACAAGAGTAGCCAGGAGGAAGAGTCATGTAGACTTCTTCAGTGAGATCACCATGGAGGAATGCATTAGTGACATTAAGTTGATTGAGTGACCAACCAAAAATAGCAGCAATAGAAAGCAACAACTTAACAGTGACAAGCTTGGCCATAGGAGAAAAAGTGTCAAGGAAGTTTATACCTTCTTGTTGTGTGTAACCTTTAGCCACAAGACGGGCTTTATGTCGTTCAACTGTGCCATCGGATCTATACTTGGTCTTGTACACCCATTTACAGTCCACCAGGCGTTTTTCAGAGGGAAGAGAGATAATAGACCAAGTTGTGTTACTTACTAAAGCTTGTAACTCAACACTCATCGCATCACGCCATACCGGAGAAGTAACAGCTTGGGAGAAGGTTTTAGGTTCAGTATGTGAGGAAATGGCCAAAACAAAGTCCCTAAAGGGAGATGATAACTTGTGGTAACTAAGAAAATGTGAAATCGGGTAAGTGATTGAAGGAGAAGGAACAACATCAGAAGTTGAAGAAAGATGTGTTGCTAGGTAGCAATGATAATCAGACAGGTATGAAGGAGGTTTAGTGACCCTTTGGGGTCGAGAAGGGGAAACTGGAAAAGAAGAAATAGGAGATGTAGGAGGAGTTGATGAGGTAAGAGGAGAGGGGACATAAGAGGAGACTGGAATGGGTGTAGGAAGAACACGAGCTATAAAGAAATCATGGAGAGTGGAGTGTGGCTGAGATTTTGCAAAGGGAAAAATAGACTCATGAAACATCACGTGACGTGAGATGTAGATTTTGTTGCTCTTTAAGTCAAGGAGTTTGTAGCCTTTATAACCGAAGGGGTAGCCAAGGAACACAGATGCTCGAGCACGAGGGGAAAATTTAGAACGATGATGGGGAGAGGTTGAACCATACCATAGGCAGCTAAAGGTGCGAAGGTGAGCATATGTTGGTTTTTTATTATTCAAAAGTTCAAATGGTGTCCTATAGCATAATAGAAATAACAAAAGGATAATTAGCAAAAGTAAATAACAGATTCCCTAATATGCTAAGACCTATTTGCCGCGCTTATCTTTCTCTTTCTTTTTTAATTATTGTTTTTCTCTTTCAAAATCTCCCGTGATGCTAGAGAGAGAGAGAGAGAGCAAAATAAAAACTAAAGTTGTTGACTTTCTTTTCCCTTCAAATCCCTCACACAAGAGAGAGAGAGAGTAAGCAAAATAAAAACTAAAGTTGTGGACTTTCTTTTCCCTTCAAATCCCTCACACAAATAACATTCATGAATGGTATTAAAGATTCTTTTTTATGTAGATAGTAAATTGTCGTTCTTGCATTAACCTTTCATTTGATTGTATGATCGATTTTTTGCAATATTCATATTACAAAATACTTTATTCATAGTAAAAATAGTTACTTGTATAATTAATGCAAATATCAAATCCGAAAAATTAATGGGATATATCTTTTGCCACCTTTGCCATATTCTTTTGTATGCGAGATCAACAATATTTTCTAATCCTGACAACTGCTCACCAGAACAAAATAAATTTCGTAGAAATATACTTACTAAAATTAAATCAAAACAAATTCCATACAATTTATGATACGTATGGACAGAATCTTTAATTACGAAGTACTACTGTCAAGTTTAACGTTTATCTTGTCCAATCTTCACTATTTAAAAATTGTTAACTCCATCCCCTTTTTACCTTATTTTGCATTCAATGAATTTTCGTTTATACATTATAACAAAAAAAAAAAGAAAAATTCTATTTTTTCTTAGAGAGTAAAGCAAACAAAATGGAAAAACAAACGCAAATATATAAAATTAGGAATAAAATATTATAAACATATGAAATTCATGTCTAGTTGATTACGGATGCTCTATTTGTCATATATTCAAAAACAGTATGATACATAATTTTGATTTCCTTTCTAAAGAATTATTGCGTACACATTCTTTTTTAAAAAGGTGATGTAGACACTAGCAAAAAAAAAAAAAAAGAGTTCAACCCCAATTTCCGTGCCAGTCTCAGACCCCAATCCCAATGTCAATTGTTGACCCTAACTGTAATGACAGTCCCTATGCAACCTCTTCGATATTTTTAAATATTTTAAATATCGTTCATTTCACCGATTTAAATTTTTAAATTTAAATTTTTACAGTTAAAAGTTTTGATAAAATGTTACATTTAATTTTTTCTGTTATAGTAAAAAATTTTTAAAAAATGTCACATTCCAATTTGAATTAAAAATTCGAATCCGCAAAGTGAACGAGGCTTTATATGTTTGTTATTATGGCCTTCTATATTAAATTACATATATCGTGATCGATAGATTTTTTTTTCCAAATATCAAAGTACGTATCATATTAATTTTAAATGTTGTATTAATATTGTGTATGAACATTTAACATAGTATTTGCTTTGTAATATTGTTGGATAGGAAATCATGAGACGCGAACCATTGTCCTATGTGTTAATATTGCAGTGCGTGGGCTGCAAATTCCACAAAGCCGGCAAGTCCTTAGCCTCTTGGCGATGTTCTTCAATTCCATGGGGTTGAAGTTGCCCCCTTGTTGTTCCACCAATAGCCGTAGTGTCTCGCACCGTTGCGGCTCAGCCACTACCTCTAATTGCTTGCAACATTCAGGTATATGGGTCGTGTTCGCGTCGATGTTTTGCAAATTTGTGACGGGCAGGAGTTGGCCAGCCACATCGCGCAGTGACTCACCTGCATTATTGCCTCGTTGGCGGTGATTACATGTTCATGATCGGTTAGGACGAATATGAGAGTAAGGATAAAGGTTGCAACTAAAGCTGGGAGCCTCCAAATATACATGATAGCATATAATAATTTGGGAAATTTAGAAACTAGGCTACATGTATAGGGATTTAGACTAGGCAATGTAGATGTATATGTATAGGAAATTAGCGAATAAATTCTCTTGGTATGGAATCGAAAGACAAGTGATCGAATTTTGTCGCTATTGCGGCTGAGGATAATAATTAAAGAAAAAAAGGGAAAATGTGACTTCTTGTGTAACTCACAAGTAAGAAGTGTATCTAATTGTAGTTTGTGATATTAGTAAAAATATTTAGCAGCTTCAAGAGTCTCAAAAGAATACTTTCAACAACAACAACAACAACAACAACAACAACAACAAAAAAAAAAAAAACTTATCAACAACCTATCAGACACAATATTTATCATTTCACTCAATTTTAATGGCTCTAATTTAAAAAAAAAAAATTACATACATACATACATATATATGTATACGTATAATATAAGATGGCTCTATGGGACTATAGCAATGTCGACTGTCCTCCTCTTTGAAGGGAAAACTAGTCTTTTTTTTTTTTTTTGGGTTAATAAAGAGAATTAGTCTTATTTTATAGTCTTATCTTTATATAGGACTAATGGGCTTATTTTATAGTCTTATGTTTAGATTGGACTATTGGTCTTATTTTATAGTCTTATCTTTATATTAGACTATATAATATTCCATTCAGTTTGCTTTTGCCATTAAATTTAATTTTGAATTTGATAGACTGAGGAATGTCAAGGTCACTACTTGTACATTGCAAGAAGACAAAAAACGATGGACAAAGTTATTAGTAAAATGGTATTTATTATTTATGCACATGGAAAAGAGAAAAGAAAATGTTTATTTAACTTTCAACCAAAAAAAAAAAAAGAAAAAGTGAAAGCAACTTGAGAATTGAGCCTTCCGAGCTGAGATACTGACATCTTGGCCTTTGGGCCGGCCCAATTTTATGATAGCGCTCGTACATTCTAGAACATAAACACAAATGTTGACACACCCACTAAATTGAAAAACGTTGTCGTTTCACGGGGACAGAGCAGCAGTGGGACCCACTAGGAAGACAAAAAAAAATGAAAACGTTGTCCTCGAGGTCCGCGTACTCCTCGTTCAAATTGACCTTTTTACCCTTCTTACTAACATCACTCGCGTATACAAACATAGCCAACGCTGATTTCCTTCGCCACGTCATCCACATATACCAATCGTAGGGTTGAAAACATCTCGTGAAGTATACGCACAAACGTGTGCGAGTATGTAAACAAGCCAATCTCTCTCTACGTTAAATGTAAGCGCGACCGACCTAACCAATAGTACGCCTAATCTGTAATCTGTGTATTTTCTCTCTTGATCCTGTATTTTCCTTTATAAAAAGATTTTCTTTTACCTTCTATTATCTCACTTACCAAACAGGAGGACAGTGAAGGAGCTCGGAGACTCAGACTCGTCCGATTTACGCAGGGGTTCGTTCTCTTCATCGACAAACCCCTCCCGAACCCTAATATCGGATCAGGTAATCTCTTTTTCCTCACTTCGATCTCCGATTTTATCGATTGACCGATTCTTAGGTTTTGATTCACGATAAATTTTAGGGCTTTGGTAGAAATTTTAGATCTTTTTCGTGTCGGTGCAAGTATTACGGTCTTAAGCGAGTAATCCAGATTAATCGTTCTACTTTTTCTTTTTCTTTTTCATTTCTAATCTTTTCTGATTCAATCGACTAGTTTCGTGTTTGATTTTCTACTCGTTTGTAACTGAAAAGCTAATTAAGCGTTTAATCGGGTTTAAAGGATTCTCATTACTAATTAAATCGTTCTACTTTTTCATTTCATTCCTAATCTTTTCCGACTAAAATCGACGAATTTCGTATTTGATTTTGTACTCGTTTATAACTGAAAAAAGGAATTTAAGCCTCTAATCCAGATTAAAGTACTCACTTTCCTGATTATATCGTTTACTTTTTAGTTTCAGTTGTATAGACTGATATAGGTTGGGTATTTCTAAATATTCTTGGAGTGATTATATATATTTATACTTATATATTATATGTATATTTATACGACTTGGGTTTGTCTATGATTCTTTGTGTGTTTATTTTTCTTTTTATTTGCCTATTTCTAGTTATCTTGTAAGTTATACGATTGAATGATCTTTTTTATGTGGAGTTCAATATGTGTTTTTATCTATGTAGGTCTGAGCATTCTGGTTGTCAGGTTCTCTTTGATCAATCAGCCAAGGTTCATGTCTGAGATCGACGACCAGATTCCCACTGCCTTCGGTTTGTTTTCTTCGTCTGTGAACTGTTTTATATATATAAATATATGTATAAATAATGGATATATTGGCATCATTTGAACTTGAAATTAATGTTTGTTGAGAGGTTTATGAAGAACTTTAATAAATCGTCATCCATTCTTGTTATAGTCTTTACACGATGATTTCGGTATCATTGATTGTTCTATGAAAACGTTGTCTCTTTTTTGAAAAGCTAATTTTTCCCTCTGAACGTATTCGGTGGACTCCTTTGGGTCTTTAGGAAGAAGCTACTATACCTGTAGCCTAATTTTAGGTGTTGGATTATGGAAAGAAACTATGTAGATGGTTGAAATCTTTTCGAATAAAGCTGATAACTTTTCTCGCAACAGTTGGGATAGTTTCTTTTCATTATCTAGTTGCTGGAATTTGGGTTTCTTGGGATGTACCGTAGATTTCAGGGAGACCTTATATGTAGTAGTTGACAATAGTAGTATCTGGGGATGGTTGAAATCTTTTTGAATAAGGCTGATAATTTTCTTGCAACAGCTGGGATCGTTTCTTTTCATTATCTAGTAGCTGGAATTTGGGCTGCTTGGGATGTACCATAGATTTCATGGAGACTTTGGCGCTGTTTGGTTTGCTAGTTTGAATCACAACTCAAATTTTTACTATAGTGTTTTCTCTCACAAAAATTCAAATTCAACTTTTTCTTCTACAGTGTTTTCTCTCACATGAATTCACTTTTTAACTCAAGTTCTCAACTCGAACGAACGAAAAGAACGAGGCCTTTATGTAATAGTAGTTGACAATAGTAGTATTTGGGGAATGACATGAAGTTGTTGACTAAAGAGACTGAGAGAATAGAATTTGAAGCTACATAGTTGGTAGATCCTTTAGAAGCAAAAATGCATAAAGCCGTTGTTGTAGACATTAATGAGTTTTTTATTTGTTTTTGTTCTAGATGGAACCAGGTGCATTTCTATTATTAGTTTCATGATATGATTTTCGTGAATGCCCAACTTTCTCATATCCCCTTGTTCTCCAATCCCAATGAATGAGAAATGTAATTGTTCTTCACTTGGTGATTCTCTGTTTTCCCTGGTCACAGACCCGTTTGCTGAGGCAAATGCTGAGGACTCAGGTGCTGGATCAAAAGAGTATGTTCATATTCGCATTCAGCAGAGAAATGGTAGGAAAAGCCTGACTACTGTGCAGGGATTGAAGAAGGAATTCAGCTACAACAAAATTCTTAAAGACCTTAAGAAAGAGTTTTGCTGTAACGGTACTGTTGTTCAGGACCCAGAACAAGGACAGGTACAATTTTTTGTATTTTTTTTTTTGTTTTTGTTTTTGGTGGAAAACTACCTGTATCTCCCGTTTTTATTGGAATACCACAAAATCCCCTATTTCTATTTCATGTTAACAACACCTAAAGGTGGTTTTAAGCATGAAATTAAAAAAAACAAAAAACAAAACAAAAAAAGGGAATGGTCGTGGCTTTACTAAAAACACAGAATAAAATGTGGCATTTTGATAAAATACATGGGAGGTTTAGATACTCATCCCTACTTTTCTCCCCGTTTGTTGGTATGGACACCTTTCTCAAATTTTGTGCGTGTTGTGGATAGGTGATTCAACTTCAAGGCGATCAGCGAAAGAATGTATCCACTTTCCTTATCCAGGCAAGTTTCTTATTCCCAGTGATGTTTCTATAGCCACACGGTTCATCGAGTTCTTCATTCTTTCGCCGTCTCTGATTGTCTCCTAATTCTTATTGCGATTTTGGCGTTCAGGCTGGCATTGTGAAGAAGGAACACATCAAAATACATGGTTTCTGAGCTGCAGGTTCTCAAGTCTCTGCACAATACATACTCATCTTTTGAGTCTTGTGTCAGTGTTAGTCATGTTATCTGATATCGAACATAAAAGTGCAGCTATATGTGGATCTTACATATGTTTGTGCTTCTGGTGTATTTTTAGTATTTAAGGACTTGTGATGTGGAATGATATCATGGAATATGTGACGACTTCTCTCTTGATACTAATTAATATAAATGAATATCTAGAAGACGTTGTGAGTAATTATTTAAGCTTAATTTATCAAACAACCGTTTTATTTTTCTTGTCTACCATTTTCATTTTCTTCGAGTGGCATTTTCTTGGGGAAATCATCATCTTAAAAAAGAGAATTTTAAGCTCTCATTTCGCTGATTCAAGTTTAGAATTTGAGTTTTGTTACAGTAAAAAGTTCTCAGAAACAGTCACATTTAATTTTTTGTTACAGTAAAAAGTTCTTACACAACATCAGCGAACTGAACGGGCATTCTCATTTATTTCAATAATTTGAGTTTTTAATTTTAATTTTGTTAAGTTAAAAATTTTTATAAAAAATTATATTTAAATTTTTTTTTTACAATTAAAAATTCACATAAAGTTACGTTATAAAAATTCACATTGACTGAACAAGACTTTAAGTAACGGGGACAAAAACGGTATTATAATCTTAGAAAGAACAAATATCGTAGGTAAATATTGTTTAGGTGTGTTACGTTGAAAACTTTTCTGCTTTTTGATGAAATGAAATCTTTTCTTTTACATCAGAAAAGGGGCCAGGTATAAAATTGATGAATATGCTTTAAAAAGCCGGTGCTAATTATGTTTATGTTATTTGATTTGTACAACTGCTAAAGGTAAACGGTTACCTGCCAAAATATGTCAGATTCAGATTATGCATTTTTTGGCACTTCCTTTATTTCGCTTTGTTTGCTGTATAACTAATTTGCCTTTTTTTTTTATTTTTTATTTTTTATTTATTTTTTACACATATAGTAAAATTTAAAGGGTTCTTTACATATATAGTAAAATATTTGAAATATTACGAATAATAATAAAGTTTGATATTATTAAATAATTTAAATTATTGACTATATCGTTACACATTATATAATATTATTTAAAATTCCCTAAACAAATCAAGAAAAAAAATGTGAGAATGCAAAATTCCCACAAAATTTCATCACATCTAGTTACGCTAAGTGTATCATAAACAATGATATCGTTAAAAGTCTACAAGCAACTAAACTGCAGTCAAAATTAGTAGCAAATAAACTAAACTGCAGCCAAAGTAAGAGTTTTTCATCTCTATCTGCAAAAAATATTTTAAAAAATCTTTACGGATAAGATTTGAACTTGTTTGGATAAAAAAAAAAGAGAAAAAACAAATACGAAATTATATGAAAATATTCTATTAACAGAACACTATTTTGAAGCGTTTGATACTCGTATAATTTCTTTAAATTGTTATGTATACTTTTATTTGTTATGTATAATTTCTTTTATAATTCATCTATAGTATGATTTAATGGTATTGATAAGGTATTTTTACACCTTACTATAAATTTGTCCCTTTAACATATAGAAGAGTAGAAAATGCAAAATTGCAAAATTGCCACAACATTTTCTTCACATGTTAATAGTCACGTCAAGTGACAAGTGTATCAAAAACATTGATAAAGTGACATTAAAAAAAAGTCATATAATAACATCGTTTTATATTATCAAACCTATCATAATTAATGTATTAAAAGTCATATTATTAGAATAAAAGGGATTTTTTTTTTCAATAAAAGAACAAACACGGAGACAAAATTATAGGGCCGGCAATATGGGTCACGACACGACTCGAAAACGATACGAATTTTATGGATTAAGGTTGAGAAAAAAGTGGTTCAGGTCAGAGTTGGGTCGACATGAAATTGACACGAAAAACACAGGTCAATTTCGGGTTGGACCCGCCTAACCCGAACACGACATGAAACTCGTAAAAAACTAAAAAATACATATATTTTTCATTTCATATTTTAAATTTTATTATGAACTTGTGATATCATAATAGTTATATTCAAAATCTTATACTATTATTTGCTTAATTTTAATGGATGTTATTGTAATTTAGTGTTATGAATTTTAAGTTATTTTTAATATGTAAAAAACTAAATAAAAGTATATAATTTTTGTGTCAATTTCGGGTTTACGGGTCAATTTCGTGTCACGGGTCATTTTTAAGTCGTGTCGTGTCAACTCGTAAAGTGGTCGTATCGTGTTCGTGTTGCGGTTTTTAAAAAATTTCGTGTCACGGGTCGTGTTCGGATTGACTGTAAATTTAAAAAGAAACGATCAAAACACGACACGTGACACGAATTACCACCCCTACAAAATCATACCAAAATCAAGTGGAATATACGAGTAGCAAACAAAATCAAGTGGAATATACACAAAACGATACCATTTTGCAACAAAATTTGAAGTGAAACTCGATCTATTTTAACCAAAGTTTAAGACCACGAATTTGGTAATCAAGTCGTTCTCGTGACACCATAATACGGACAAAACAGAAAAGTACCATATTTTCACAACGACTATCTAAATCACACCCTTTTTTCTCCCTCCTTTGGCCAAGATATTAATTTCCCAATTCCAAATATCAAACCCCCCTTTTCTCTTGATGACAAGAAACCTCACAAACTAGGATATCAAAATTATGAAAAGATGGGCAAGATTACAAAGTAGTACACAACACCCAAAGGGCACTTCATGAATGCCACTTGTGAAAAAAGTTTTTCAAATGAGTCCAACAATTCTAGACCCTTCATATCCTATCTCCTTCCCACGTGTCACCCCACACCGTATAGATATTTACACCTTTTCTTTTCCTTTATATGCCCCCTCATCTTCATCCTCATCCTTCCCCCCCCAACCCCCAGAAAAAAAAAAAAAAAAAAAAAACTAAACATCTAACACCGAAGGAGAAAAACGACGTGTCCTTTTCTTGTTTTCTGATGGCTTCCATGGCTTCCACCCTTAGCACCTCCTCTTTCGCCGCCAAAACCTCCCTCTTCGAGTCCTCCTCCTCTTTCCATGGGACCCCCTTGGCCCCACCCCCGCCGTGCCTCCGCCTCCAGCCGGCGAAGGCGGGTTTCTCGGTGTCCATGTCGGCGGCGGCGCCGTACGACCTCAAGAACTTCCGGTTCGAGCCGATCAAGGAGTCGATCGTGTCGCGTGAGATGACGCGCCGATACATGATGGACATGATCACTTACGCCGACACCGACGTCGTCGTCGTCGGCGCCGGCTCCGCCGGTCTCTCCTGCGCCTACGAGCTCAGCAAGAACCCCGACGTCCAGGTCGCCATCATCGAGCAGTCCGTTAGCCCCGGCGGCGGCGCGTGGCTCGGTGGCCAGCTCTTCTCCGCCATGGTATATACCGTATATATCTATATATCTATATATATACATACACACACTTAGCAAATATGCATGCAAAGTATTAATATATATACATGGAAAATTCTAATAATTACCATTAATCACAGTGGGGAAGGGGATTTAATTCTTTTTTTTTTTTAAAGATGAAATTTGATTCCATTTCCCCCTAAAAAAAAAAGGGATTTTTCCCACTAATCTCATACCAGTTCCGAGCACATATGCAGAGTCGTTTTAAGTTATGGACTTCTCACTTGAAGTCGCTTTTCCTAGACCATTCTCGTTCTTATGTTGGTGTCGTCGTTAATTTGATGTCGTTCCCGGGTTACTCTAGATTAACGGTTGCCATCTTTTGTAGATTGCTGCCGTGCAACCCTTTCTCAGTTGGTTGTCGTTTTTTTAGCTGATATCGCTTTTGTATTATTGTCGTTTTCGGGATATAGGGAAAGCTTCTAATCATCAGAACTCTGGGATTTTTCTACCACATCCGATAAGACTCATGGACATGGATGAATCTTCTACACACAAACCCCCACCCCCACCAAAACACACACACACCAAAAAAAAAAAAAAATTGGAAATGGATGAATCATGGAGATTCTTCTATTTTGTCGTTTTAAAGTTACTGTCGTTTTGCTAATCCTAATCCTCGCTTTTTAAGTCTCGTTCACTTTTTTAAGTCTCGTTCACTTTTTTAAGTCTCGTTCACATATTTAAATTTTGAATTTTTAATTTGAGTTAAGACGTGATATTTTATAAAAATTTAACAAAAAAAAAATTAAATAAAACATTTTCTGACAATTTTTTACTTAAAATTAAAAACTCAAATAAATGAAATATTTTCTATTTTTACCTAAAATTAAAAATTTAAATAGTAAAATGAATTAGACCGTAATTCTCTTCTAAGATTGGTAAAATCACTTTTTTTTCCCTTTTTGGTAAAAAGAAATTACAATAAATTTGACTTATATGGATGGATGGTTCATAGTGAACATGATCATAGAGATAGCTAGCCATTTCTAAAACTGCTCAAAATTTTATTAGTAAAATAACTTCTTAAAAATTATCATTTGCAAAATGACACGACCACCAAAGACGGTTTTTCTTTTGTAAAAAAAAAAAAGAAAATTTCGTGCATGTTTAAAACTTTTTGAAAAATAATTTTCATTGAGAAGAAAAATAAATCATTTTGAAAAGTGGTTTTCACCTTTTTTGAGAAAAAAATAAGCTAAAAACGGTTCAAAATAGACCTATTTTGAGAAAAAAATAAAATGAAAATAAAATTACGTTTATTTAGTAAATATTTTAAAAATAAAAATAAAAACATAAATTATGAGAATTATTTTTGAGAATGAATTAAAAAGTTAAAAAATTATTTTTATTTTTTTGTTTTTTTAATACTTATTAATAATATTATAATCTTTTTATTATAAATAAAATTATTTTAAAATTAATTTTAAACGCACTATTAATCAATAAATAATATTTTATTTTTTTTATTATATTTAAAATAATTTTTTAAAATAACTAAACTCAATTTTAAAATTGATTTTAAAATAATTCCTAAAACAATCTCATTTTTATTTTTTATTATAAATAAAAATATTTTAAAACTAATTTTAAATGCACTATTCATTTGCTAATTTCACTTTCTAGCTAATATTTTAGCAAATTCTTACTTTTGACCAATATTTTAGCAAATTCTTACTTTTGATCAATATTTTCATGTGTTATTTTTCAGGTGGTTAGGAAGCCAGCCCACATCTTCCTTGACGAGTTGGGCATTGAGTACGACGAGCAGGACAACTACGTCGTGATAAAGCACGCCGCACTCTTCACCTCCACAATCATGAGCAAGCTGTTGGCCCGCCCCAACGTGAAGCTCTTCAACGCCGTGGCGGCTGAGGACCTCATCGTAAAGGGCGGCCGCGTCGGCGGCGTGGTCACCAACTGGGCCTTGGTCTCCATGAATCATGACACACAGTCCTGCATGGACCCCAATGTCATGGAGGCCAAGATAGTTGTCAGCTCCTGCGGCCACGACGGGCCGTTCGGGGCCACTGGGGTCAAGCGCCTCCGCAGCATTGGCATGATCGACAGCGTCCCCGGCATGAAGGCCCTCGACATGAACGCGGCCGAGGACGCCATTGTCAGGCTCACTAGGGAGATTGTGCCCGGGATGATTGTCACTGGCATGGAAGTTGCTGAGATTGATGGATCTCCAAGGATGGTAACTTACATTATCTTTCCAATATTATTAGAAAATAGCTTATATCCTTTTTATTTATTAGATATGAAAATTCTTAATTAGCAGGATTTTTATTGGTAAATATATATATTGTTTTAGTTTGTGTCTTTTTCTTAAAGAAAAATATCTAAACTTGATAAAGTCTTAACTTTTGAAAAAGAAAAGGTTCATAAAAAGCCAACAATGCCTATCCCTTTGATTTTCAATTTACTCCAATTTGGCATTATCTTTGAAATTGTGACAAGCTATTCTGATTTTCTAATTGGTTTTTTTTTTTTTTTTTTTCCAAGTGATTTGTACAAAAACAAATTACTTTTGTCTTCATTAGAGTCCAAGATCATAGTATTGTTAAGACATCTTTAGTTTTTTTTCTTTTTTTTTCTTTCTCTTTACTATATACTATCTTTTAGTTAAGATCTTTCCTAAAATGCAACATGTCCAAGTGAATAGTAATCTTGTGGAGATTGGAGCCAACCTAGAATGACACTCTCAATCATGGAAGATTTGTGGAGCAACAAATCCCATTTCGTTTGCAAATCCATCACAATCTCCACGATGATGTTATTTATTTTGTTGGGCCCACTTTTCCTTTTAACTCTTTGTCTTGACTCTTAATTAGCGGCATTCTTGCTTTTTTTAAAGAAATTATGGGTATTCTTACACTTTTAAAGAAAAAACATATATCTAGGAGATATTTTAGTCCTCTTTGTTTTCATTTGTTTCTTGGTGTTATTTAAATTGCAAACTTGTTAATGCGAAACAACTTTTTGTCCTCATTCGGAGATGTGTAATACTGCCATGGTTATATTAAATTAAGCTAAGTTTAGTGCTATGTTTTTCCTTAAAGCAAAGATCTTTCTATTCATTACATGAAGACCCAATCTAGTATGCCAACCTCAATCACGAAAAAAAGAAGTCGGGTGGACCCACAACCCCATTTGATATACAAAAACACATCACAATCTCCATGATGATATATTTGATATTATTGTTTTTCCTGGGGTCCCTCCACTTTTTTCTCTCATTTGTCCCCATTCCCAACTGTGTATTTGTCTTTATAATTTAGTGGTACAACTTTTTTTTTTTTTTGGTAGCATACTTTAGTGGTACATTTGCACTCTGAATGATAAGGTATCTTGGACATTACCTTTTTAGATTTTTTTCCCTCCTCTATGGAGCAAAAATATGTGGTCCTAAATGAGTAACGACCCTTACATACATACATATATATATATATATATATATATATGGTCCTAATGATCTTTGATTAATCATGAAAATGAATGATATTTATTAATCATGAAAATGAATGATATTGATTAATCATGAAATTGAATGATATGTGGTTGTAGGGACCCACATTTGGAGCCATGATGATCTCCGGGCAAAAAGCAGCTCACTTGGCACTGAAATCACTCGGACTCCCCAATGCTCTTGATGGATCCTCTGTGGGCAGCAACATCCACCCTGAGCTGATCCTAGCCGCTGCTGAGAATGCTGAGATTGCCGATGCTTAAAAAATCTCATCATCCCAAAATCTTTGCGTAGTTGATGAAGTAGTTTTTGTTAGTGAGTGAATTGATCATGTGGTGGTGACGGTGGAAATGCGTGATGTGATTATGTGGTGGCTTTTTTCCCTTTTCTTTTTCTTTTTTGGGTTAATAATGAGGGGGTGCTTTTATATGATCAATATATTTGTATCTTTCCCCCTTAAGACTCCATGTTGGAAGTCCATGGTAACTTTCTTTTTTTTTTTTTTTTTTTTTTTTTTTTTTTTATTTTTTTTTTTTTTTTTTTTTTTTTTTTTTTTTTTTTAAGATGTTTGTTGGTGGTACCAATTTGGCTTCTATGTTCTCAATCTTTTATCCTTTTGTTTTTCCTTTTTCAAGATTTAATCTTTCCTTCTAATTCTATCCAAAAAGGAAAAGTTTTTTGTTTTTTTTTGGTTTTTAATTACTGCTTCCTTTTCACTCGGAAAATGGCCCTCCTTCAGCATGTTTCGCCGGTTGAACCGGTTAGAACCTTATTCAACGGCAACGCCCATTGAAGTTCGGGAAAAGGAGATCTTTATTTAATATAGATCTTCTCCATCCATTGTAATGGCCTTTCACGTTGGAATAGTTCTTTTTGAAAAAAATTTTGGTATCTTATGTTTTAACATAATTATTTTTTAGTATTCTGTTTTTTAATAATTTTAAATTGATATTTATACATTTTGGAAAATCATTTTTAATGTCTTAAAATTGTTTTATATTTGTTTTAACATAATTATTTTTTAGTATTCTGTTTTTTAATAATTTTAAATTGATACTTATACATTTTAGAAAATTGTTTTTAATGTCTTAAAATTGTTTTTTAAAATATAAAAGATAAAAATTACCATTCTCATTAATTAATTAAAAAATTAATTAATCAAAAAATTAATAATAAATTTTAAAAAAATTTGAAATTTTTTAAAACATTTAAAAATTAAAAATAAAAATAATGCTTTGAATTGTAATTTTTTTGAGAAATTTTTCATAATTTATTTGTTTTTAGTAAGGTAATGAAAATGATAAATTTGACATTTTATATCTTAAAAAATGACCTTAATGTATTAAAAATAATTTTCTAAAATGTCAACGTATTAATTTAAAATTATTAAAAATAAAAAGTATTAAAAGACAATTATGTTATCACACAAGATATCAATATGAAATTTTTCCTTCTTTCTTTAAGGAAAATTTCATTATTAAAAATAAAAAATATTAAAAGACAATTATGTTATCACACAAGATATCAATATGAAATTTTTCCTTCTTTCTTTAAGGAAAATTTCATTTCACATGTACAAACACAAAACTAGTCACAGATGATCACTCATTACAAGGGAATTCGACTCTGACCATTTACTAGAACCACCAATTTGATCTTGGCCATTGATTGGAACCACCAGTAAAGACGGATGAAAACCAGGGTACGAACAAAAGTACCGAGACATAATGGGAAAAAGTCCTCTCGACACATAAAAGTTGAGCTCGACAAAGCTCGTTAGAAAGGACCACTACAGTCAATGGATTAAACTAGTCGACCGAGACCAAACCCCAAGTAATGAGGACATCAACGACACGACAATCTAGTCAGACACAAACAATATCGGATGATGGAAATACCACTTCCTTTATTACAAGACAAAGACAGACACAAACTGACATCTAATATTTAAAACAGGGCAAAAGCAACATCGCCTTTATTACATACAAATACAAAAATAGTAAAAAAAACGGAACATAAAAGAAAACTCCGACATTACGGAGAGAAAAAAATGGTGACGAGTCTATCACCACGGCCATCAAAATCAATTGAAGCAAACAAAGGGCCAAGAGCATCGGAGGAGAATCACCCATTTGCTGGCATATGAGATCCACACGTTGTCACCACCTTCTACCACCACTGAGACACGCATCGAGAGAGTGCAATTGCCGGAGCACCAATGGACCCCGCAAACACAACCAGACGTGCAACATCCATCTCCTGCCATATCACCAAATCCCAACTTCAACAGCCATGAAACCAACCCAAACACCCACATTCTCACCAAGGAAACCCGGATTTTCCATTCTTTGGCCAAAAATCCAACCACCAAACCCTAACCCAATAGAGAGAAAAGAAGAAGAGACAGTCTGTCTATATTTAAATCGATTTTTCACATTCGTAAAAAGTAGTGAATGCTATTTCTTTTTTGAAGGCTAGTGAAAGCTATTTACTAAAAAGGAACAACTATTAAAAAAAGACGAACAATGTTGTAAAAGATGTAAAATCATGTTGCTAATACATAATCAAAAAGAGATTGAAGAAAATAAAAAACAATAAATAAAACACACACAAATGGTGAATTAGGTTTATAAATTTACTATTTATTTGTTTATATTCATGTCCTTTTGTTCTTTGTTTTAACTTTTCATTTACTTTATCAGAAAATAAGATTTACTCGTTAGTATTTGAAGAAAGTGAAAACTTTTTTACTCTATCCTTATTCTTCATTAATATCATTTTTATTTAAATATAAATTTTTATCAAAGATATTAATCAAGAGTAAGATGTAAAAATTTAGACCCATCTATTCTAAAGGATATTTGTTTTTTTTTCCTCTATTAGAAATAACTTTTTGTGGACTTGTCTTCTCGTTATCGGTGCAATTTTTAGGTGTTGTTTTAGTGTCCAAACCACAAACAACAAATATGCCTCATTAAAAACCCTATAACCAAAATCCAAAGAAAAAAAGACTAGAGGAGAAAAGAGTATATATTAACTGTAACAAGTCAACTTTTGAAAAAATCTATAACAAGGGAAACAGGTTAATTTCAATAATAGCACTCCTGAGTAAATGATTATTAATTTTAGCATCGCCATGTCAATAAAAGTAGGACCAGACCGTTTTTACTTGAGTTAAAATGACAATTGTGCCCCATTTCAGTTTTAAAGCCTTGAATATATATATTATGAAGGCTTTTATAATTCAAATATTAAAAGTAGAGAGAGGAGGAGGAGAACAAACGTGGGTGTGCACAGAGACGAAGAAACCCCACCGACCACCACCGTCCCGTCTACCACCTTGAGCACTGACAAACCCACGATAGTGAAAACTCACGACAGCGAGAACCCATGCAATCACGCGACGAGAACCGATGAACCTTCGCCGGAAAAATCAACGCTTAAACCTCTTCATCGGAGAAGAACGAACCGAAGAAACCTCCCCCTCTTTGTTGGAGAAATCAACCACAAAACAGACGAGGTCAATGACAGATTCCGAGACAAAGTGAAAACTTTGTTGGCTTTTCTTGTTTATTTGTTTTTTTTTTCTTATGTATTTATTATTTTTTTCTTTTACCATTTTCTGTCATCTTAGAAGAAAAGAAAGGCTTTGGAGGAGGAGATAAAAGCAAATAAGGTCAGTTATTTGAAATTTTTGGGGGTCATTGGATTCTCATTGTGCTCCTTCTTTGGTCTGTGACTCTGCCTGATGGCCGGTCATATCATTATGACCACTTGGTAATTTTATTATGACCGGTCATAAGATAGGCACATCGTGCGGTCATAGTAATATGACCGACGATCATAATTAATATAACCGCCCATTAGGTAGGCAGGCGCATAATGTGATTGTCTGACTGATGAGCCTGCAGTCATAGCATTATGACCATTGGTCATAGTAATGTGACCGCACAATTGTCAGGCTCATAGTGCGACTGTCTTGCAGTCATAGCATTATGACCCTAGATCATAGTAATGTGACCACACAAGAAAAGAAAGGCTTAGAAGAAAAGAAAGGCTTTGGAGGAAGAGATGTCGTTGATAGAATGTGACATCATAGTCAGACGATATCTTCACAAGAGCTTCCTCGTCTTCAATAACATATCTTAAGGATAAACTTTTTCCTTGTGGCCGAATCCTAAGCGCATTTCTCACCAAATCTGTAAGACCAATATAAGTTGTGTTGGTGGGGACCAGTATTCCCTTCATTTCACAACCGACGTATCTCGAAGCATGGTCCCAATATCCATTGTACTTGATGAAGACGTTCAATCCAACAGCCATTCCTAAATAATTTCAAAATCAATAATTGTTAATCCACATGTAATTACTCCTAGTCGTCATCGAGTCATTAGAAATGGCCAGTCATAACACTGTGTAATGGCCGGTCATAAGGCAGTCATAGTGTGCCAGTCATAACACTATTAGTCATTTCAGTCATAATATTATAACTGGACGGTCATATCACTATGACTTCCTTACGGTCATTATACTATGACCGGCTATTTTGACTCATATTGTTATAATTTGACTCATAAACAATGACTCATGCTGTTATGACTGATTGGTCATAGTATTATGACCAGACATATAATACTATGAGTCATAATACTATGACTCCCAAGGTCAACTATGTCTTTGACATGTTGGTCATTACAATTAGTTTACATATCAATTATAAACCATCTAAAATCTCAAATTGATGAAGGATATTTTCAATTCCTATCACATTAAGTTCAAACCAGTCATTTTTTTCAAGTTCTATATACTAAGTCTCCCGAAAAATATATTTAAAAAGACAAAAATAAAAGAAAAACAAAAAAAAATTGTGTACCAACCTCAATCAGTGCACAACTAGAGTATTGACGATGAGGGAATGAGAGCGTTGGGAAGAGAGAGACCGAACCAACCTCAATCAGTGCACAACTAGAGTATTGACGATGAGGGAATGAGGGCGTTGGGAAGAGAGAGACCGAGTAGAGAGAAAGGCCAAACTTGAGAGAGAGAGAGAGAGAGAGAGAGAAAGAGAAAGAGAGAGCTGAAAATGGGGTGTAGAGAGAGAGAATGGGCGGGAGAGAGTTGAGAGTTTCTTTGAGGTGCTTTCAAATGATAATTTTGACCTAAGTAACATATAAGTCATTTTACCTCACACTGCTGACATGACAATGCTAGTTGTGAAAGTATACAAAAATAGTGTTAAAATTAATAATTATTTATTCAGAAGTGTTATTATTGAAATTAATGGGAAAGTTGTCATATTAATATGGATCGTTAACAAATAGAAATCTGGAGAGTCAGGCAAGCTACCATGTGTAATTTTGCAAATGAAGCAAGCTTATCCTCAATATGATTACCTTCCCGAAATTTTCAAAAAAATTTGTGATTCTTAGTAAGCAACAAATCAACCAAAGATGCAATTTT